GAGAATGGCCAGACTTCATCTCACCTATTTTGGCCATGTTGTCAGAAAGGACCATTCCTTGGAGAAGAATGTAATGCTTGGTAGGGTGGAGGGTCGATGAAAGAGGGGGAGGCCTTCAACGAGATGGATTGACACAGTGGCTGCAATGATGGGCTCAAGTATAGCAGGGATTGTGGAGCTGGCGTGGGATCAGACAGTGTTTTGTTCTGCTGTGCATGGGGTTGCTGTGAGTCAGAAATGACTTGACGGTACCTAGCAACAACAACAACATCTATGTATGTCTGGGAGCTCTGGTGGCATAGTGCCTAAGGCATTTGACTGCTAACCACAAGGCTGGCGGTTCAAACTCACCAGCTACTCCTCAGAAGGAAGATTAGGCAAGCTACTTCCGTCGTGACACCACCTCAGAAACCCAAGGAGGGGTCGCTATGAGTCAGATCCAACTCCATGTCAGTGACATGTATGTATAGAAAATAAATACTTATATATGCATCCTTTGGAAGGATACATAAGACATAAAGAACGGCAGTTTATGTGATTTGAATTTACTGAAAGGCACCTCAAAAGAAAGGCCTGGTGATCTCCTTTTGAAAGATCACAGCCATTGAAAACCCTGTGGAACTCAGTTCTGCTCTGTAATACATAGGGTCATCATGACTCAGGATTGACCAAACAGCAACCGGTAGTGTTGTCTTAGAAGGGTGTTGGGTAGCTGAGAGAGTTTAAAGATTATTTTGCTGTTTACCCTTTAAAATTTGAACCATGAGATGGTTCAAAATTATTAAATAATAATTAAAAGCAAAAAAGTATATTAAAACAGAAATAAAACAGGCCAAATGAAACGTCTGTCTTTCTCAATAGAGAGAGTGAGCACTTTGAATTCAGGGTCAGTGTGGTTGCAGTGGGGAATGGTTAGAAACACTTTAGGAAATGAATCCATTGGAAGAGGCTGGAGTCCTTCAGGGGTGAGGTGTCAGGCTGGCAGCATGTGGACACAGACTGTGGCAGGCTGCAGGGACCCCAGTTTCCCAGTGGAGGCATAGGATGTGGCCTGAATGGTGATGGAAGAAAATGGGTCTGGCAGGTGGTGATGAGGGCCCCTGGATACTCGGCAGGGCAGATGGGGCTAGGGTCTGAAGATGGAAGGCTGGTGGGAGGCTCTCTGCAAGGAAGAGGCAAGAAACTGCAAAGAAAGATCTGTAAAGAAAGGGGAATGAGATGGAATATCTATATCTACATAAATATGTATGAGTATGTATGTATATATGGGAGCTCTGGTGGCATAGTGCCTAAGGCATTTGACTGCTAACCAGAAGGCTGGCAGTTCAAACCCACCAGCCACTCCTCGGAAGGAAGACTGGGCAATCTACTTCCATAGTGATACAGTCTCAGAAACCCAAGGAGGGGTTCCTATGATGATGAGTAACCTCTGTTTTCTCAGAAAAAGAGGTGTTTTGTTTACTTTGTGATGTTCTAACAGAAAATACCACAAGTGGATGACTTTGATAAACAAAAATTTATTCTCTTACAGTTTAGGAGGCTAGAAGTCCAAGTTCAAAGTGCCCGCTCTAGGGACTGGGTAAAGGCCTTTTGACTTTGGCCTTCAACTCTGCCTCTTGCTCCTGGCCCACTGAAGCTGGAGGATTCTCTTAACTAAGGCAGCTGCTAGCTACTGAGGCTGGCAAACCCAAGGTCAGTAACTAAAATGGTACAGTCCCAAGATTATCAAGCAACATGGCAGGTGACTAATTCAAGTCCAGAAACAGTCCAAAGATTGACAGGCAACATGGTAGCTATTGAAAGAAGACTTAGCTGCGTGTAGGCTCCAAGCATGACAAAAAGCTCAGAGACCTTTCTCAAAGCTTCTCCTTATGTACTGGAAGTAGACGACATCCCTAAGGCAGCTACTCAGCTGCTCACAGCAGATTCCACCATGGAGTTGACTGCCAGTCTCATCATGGGGAATCACTCCATCCAGCTGCCCAGCCACTCAGAACCAGGTCCAGCGAAGCTGACACATAAACTCAACTACCACAGGAAGTCAGCTGCTGGGAAAAGCTTGGGGCTTGAGAAGACCTGAGAAGGTCTGAAACAGCCCTGAAAGGGGCTTCGCAGGGCAAAGGCGGCTCATGGGGACATGGTGGGCTGCTGGGTGTTCAGCCTGACTAACCACGTCCCTGAGTGGTGCCAACAATTAAGTTCTTGGCTACTACCCAAAAGGTTGGAAGTTCAGATACATTTAGAGGCTCATCAGAAGACAGACTTGATGATCTTCTTCTAAAAGGTCACAGCCTTGAAAGCCCTATGGAGCCCTTCTACTCTGCACACAGGGGGTTACCATGAGTCGGAACTGACTTGACACCAATGAACAATGACAAAAAAACAACCCAAAGGCAGCGTCTTCACACCTCGTATCTGCTCTGGTGAGACTCCTATCTTTTCTTCCTCCTTTGAGAAGTATCCATATTTCAGCATCTAATTGTTTCATTCTTTGGTTAAGATTTCATTTTAAAATAACTTTTAAAACTTCCTCTCTCAATAAATTACCCTTGTAGTCCCTGTGACACTGCCTGGTCCCTCCTCACTGCTCTCTGCTTTCTTTTATGTGTATTTTAATCTTATGCAATCTTCCTTTCACTCCTATCTTCCCTTTTTCCTGTTTTATTTTTACAGTACTTTCAATCATTTTCCAGTTGCTTCTCTCCTGATGCCTCCACCTTTTCCAGGCCCCTGCTCTCTGGTCTCTCCCCTCCTCACTTTAACTCCAGCTTTTTGGCCCCTCCCAGTCCATTCAAACTTTCATTTTGGTTCAAGGTGGACATATTGTAAGCAAGACTGGCTATGTAATTTCCAGGCCCAGTGAAAAATGAAAATGTGGGGTTCCTTGTTTAAAAATTTTCAGAATTTCAGGATGGTGACAAAAGAACATTGTATCAACTATGGACCTGTGGGGTAAAGGACCTAGTTTTACCTTAAGTAAGGTGCCCTTTGTCCTTGGCTCAGGGAAATAATCTTTGGAGTAATCAAGGTGCCTTGGCTTGGGACTTTCAGTTCACACCTGAAAATTTATGTTGTCATGTGGATGGCTGGCCAGACCAGAAAAGACTCACCCGGGAGGCTGAGGTCAACTAGCCTCAGGAAGCATGATTTGGTCTCACATGATGGACTGGCTAGTAAAAGCGACCTAAAGAGACAACAGGAGCCAGCGGACCAGAAAAGTAAGAGTGTAGTGTGGATTTCTGAGCTTGGAGCTAGCATGCTGAAGGCGTAGGAAACCAGCCCTGAATCTGTGACCAGCAGGTCAGTGGTTTGAGGTGTTGTGTGGACTCCTCAAACTTGTGGCTGGAGTCTGACTGTGAAATACTCTGAAGGACTTGTGAGTTCTGACCTACCTCTGAGTGGCTAGGGTGTGAGAGAGCGTGAGTGCACACGGACAGCTGGTGACGTGGCTGGAAAATGGGAATGTGAGGACCAGACCGTGATTGGATTCATGCTGAGCCTTACCCTTCAGGGCTCTTCTGAGCATGGGCCCCTGTGTGACCACACAGGCTGCAAGCTCATGACAATGAATCTGTTGGTAAGGTTTGTTGCCTTGACTTACTGTTTATTCACCATTCTCTGAAACTTTTCAGTTTGCTGTCATCTCCAGCTACTACTTTGACCTGCTTGATTATACACAACATAATCAACAGGCTTAGAAAAACCAAATGACACATTTGGTTTCAATTACTGCTCCTTTTCACCACCTTTTTGGTGATTGGGAAGAAGTCAACTACCCTGGAGGCCAGCTGCCTGTAGAAGTTGGTGTCTAAGGATTTCCTGCAATTCAGAGCCCCTCAGTCATTCCAATGGTACTGAGGAAGCTCCTCCCCTAAGATCTGGAGGAGAAGTGGATTAGGTCACCTGGGCAGTGATGCCACGGAACTCTCCCACAGAAAATACGTCCTCAGTGTATGGTCAGAGTAAGGACTGAATAAATGATGACCAGCATTATTTCCATGCTTGACTCCAGCTGATGCCCACAATGCTGCTGTAATGCAGAGGCCCAGCTCCAGTCTAATGATTTCCTTCCATATCTGAAGGGTCTCAACTCCTCCTAGGACTACCTGGGTGGTACAAATGGTTAATATGCTCAGCTACTAACCAGAAGGATTGAAGTTCAAATCCACCCAGAGGCCCATTGGAAGAATGGCCTGGTGATCTGAAACATGTCAGCCTTGAAAACTCTATGGAGCATGTTTCTACCTGACACACATTGGGTCTCCTGTCATGAGTTGGAGTTGACTCGAAGGCAATGGTTTTCTAACTCCTTCCCTATATTTCCATTGGGCTATGATTCATTTCTGATATCCCCGTGCCACCCCCAACCCAAGGGTCTGCCACCTACTTGTTGGTTTGCCTCTGGTGCTGGATGACCATGTTTTTCTCGTGGATTGTCTCCAACAGGGCTGTCGCCAGAGATTTCAGGTCAGAAATGGACTGCGGAGTGGCTGGGAGACTGCACCCATGGTCCTCTGATAGCAAGTCCTGAACTGGGTAGGACAAGACAATTTATAGCTCAGTCTTGAATTCTTCTGGAATGCAAACCAATGCTAATTCCTTCTGAATATGTTCCCAACTTCTCAATGCTACTACACTGTATTGAGAGTCAACTGCAAACATTAAAAGCAGAACATAATAAAATTCAGTGTGGGATTTAAACAGAAAGGAGTAAGTGCTCATGGACTTTTATCAATATAGTTTTTTAAAGAATAATGGTCTTTTGCATGAGTGAATATTTTACAGTTTCCAAAAACACTTTCCTACTAACTCATTTGAAACTTAAAATAAAAAGAAAAAAGAAAAGAAAAAAACTCTGGGAAGTATTATTTATTCCCATTTCATGCACAGGAAACCAAGGCACTGATGGGTTATGCACTGATGGCTTGCAGGTCATGCAACCGTGCAAATGACGACTATGATATGAGCTCTCGGCCTTACATCAGAGTTTCCCATGGTGCGGTACCTCTGGGGGTGGCAAAGTGATTGAGGGAGATTATTGAAAATACAAAATATGTTTTGTAATTTAATAGACAACTATTTATTTGAAGGTATTCTGGAAATGAATAAAAAAGGCAAAGCAAACCAGTGATGTCACAGATATTACTATTTAGGGTGAGGGCAAGTAAAATGAGTCTGTTTAACATCAATTTGAAGAAAAATATTAAGTAAACAATTGTGTAAGTGGTATAAGGATATGGCAACAAGTGGACTGCAGATGCTGAAAGGTTAGGAAAGGGTATTTTACACAAAGATTAGCTGTTCCTGGATGCATGTGATTCCACAAACAGCCAGATCACATCCACAGCCAAGTTCAAAACCAAAGCCAAACAACATGCACAGCTCAGTGTAATCGAAGGACCAGATCCGTTTGAAGTGATCCATTTCTTCCATCCTGGGCCACATTGTTTACAAATCTCCAGTCATCTATGGGTGGCTCTGCTAGGTAGAAAATTCTTTGGTCTTTTTTCCAATTTCAAAGTGTTTAAAAAAATTCATTTCTGATTTGTCTCCATTCCACTTAGATATTTTTAAAGGAACATTCCTTTAAATGAGGAGTTCCCTTTTTCTGAAGAACATAATGTTTTATTGTCTATCTAAAACCAAAACCCACACTCACTGTCGCCAAGTCAGTTCTGGCTCGTGGCGGCCCCATGTGTTACAAAGTAGACCTGCTCTGTAGGTATTTCTTGGCTATAGTCTTTACAGAAGCAGATTGCCAGGACTTTTTTCTGCAAAGCCACTCAGTGGGTTCAAACTCCCAACCTTTAGGCTGGCAAAGGATCACAAACCACTTGTGTCAACCAGGGACCTTATTTACATGTCAGTCAAATAGGAAATTATGTTCAAAGTTGCATTGTTGTTGTTGTTGTTATATGCCGTCGAGTCGGCCCCGACTCATAGCGACCCCTCCTTGGGTTTCCGAGGCAGTATCACTACGGAAGTAG